TTCCAAGTAGCTGGAACTACAGGCACGCGCTACCACGCCTGGCTAATTTTTGACTTACTGTAGAGATGAGGTCTCACCAAGTTGCCCAGGCAGGTCTCAAACCCACAGGCTCAGGCAATCCACTCACCTCAGCCTCCCAAAGTGCAGGATTACAGGCTGAGCCACCGAGCCTGGCTAAGATTGTAAATTTTCAAAATCAATTTTACCCATTTCCCAATAATCACTGACTCATTTATATTTAATCTTATAGATTCTATTTCTGTGCTCAGAGATCCCAGTGTAGATGAAAGGAGATGTAAGGGAGGGGTGGGGAAAAATAGGAAGGAGATATGAGTTCTATTGATGACAAACAATTTTCCCTGTGGCTCAGTTAAACTTTATTCATAAAATATAGATAAACAAATTCTTAGAGAGATGGGACAGTGATTACATTTCCTATACAATTTTGGGTGATTTAATGTGATATTTATGCTGTCCTCAAAAGTGTCATTTTTTTCTGGAGACTTCCTTGTAGAAAGAACTCCTAGGAATCAATTATGGGGCTGATTCTGTAAGATGTGGTTCTGTGATTTAATCCCCAAGCACTGCTTACAGACTTGGAATAGGGAGTCATGTTTGTTGAGTGCCTGTGAAGTGTTTATTTGTCTGAGCTCATTTAAGCCATAACAACTAGTAGGTGGTAGATCCATGGTAGGAACGTAGATTCGCTAACTCCAAACTCAGGGCTCTGTCCACCATATAGATCAAGACTGCTAATTAGGATTTATCTTATGTTTTGACTTACTAGAGTAGGGGAACGAGAGCTGTGTTGAGGGTGCCTATGGACTCAGCAGGTTGTAGGCTTCTGATGGGCCAGCTGTTTCCCAGGAAGACAGAAAGGGGTGAGGGCAGGTCCTATGCCTGCCACTTGACCATCCCTAAACTGTCATATTACTTTTCATGGAAAGATTCTGGGTGGCTTATCAGGAGAATTTAATTATTCTCATAAACTGCATCTGGGATACATCTGTAATTAATTTATACTGATTCAAGAAGTTATCTTTTGATTCTCCCTCATTTCATTTAAACCTTGTCTATTCCATATATGTGATCTCAAGCTAGCCCCTAGGATTGATGCATTTATTCCTACTTGTGGTATTTATTTATTTCAGGCAGAGAAAGCTGATGGATTTGTCAACCTACCTGATTTCACTGTGGAAAGAGCATCTGAATGCAAGAAAAAGCAGTAAGTTGTTTTCCATCCTCCATAGAACTCTGAGCCAGATAATATCTCTTTGCAATGTTCATTGAGTGAGATGGTGATTTAAAAGTGAGCGAAGGTAGCACTCAGATGTCTGAGAATTTTGAATATTATGGGTTGGAACACTAAATAGAAATAGAAGCATTTAATGTCTAATTTTCTGGAATTTCATTTTATTTTTTATTTAAGTTTCTCTTACGGAATCTTGAATAAATGGAATTTCACTTTGTAGAGCAGATAAATTTTAAAACCCCCATGAAACCTTGGCAGGGAATGTTGCTGATGACTATGTCTGTGATAGAATAAAAAACAACTCCCATCTAGGACTGGCAGGGAGGTCAGATGTCAAGACTTCATTCTTGTAAAGAGAAGAATGAATAGTTAAATAGGACCCAACAAAATTGCAGATATGATAGCTAGTTTCTCTTTCTTATTTCATGGAGTTGTCAGAGCACCCCTGGAATCGATTTCTCTGAGGTGTCTTCAACTTGAGGAATGCAATATGATATAATTTAAGTACAGAAGATTTGAGAACCAGCAGGGAGTCACCAGTGCATGGTCCTGGTTTTACTCGAAGGAAACAACTCAGAGAGTCTGTGCTTGGAACTTGTGGAAGCACTGGCTGTAAACCCAGGTCTTCAGACTCTGGGTCAAGTGCTCTTTCTATGATCCTGCTGTATTTTTCATTTTACCTTTATCTTATTATTTCTTCCAACTTGGACATCTTTTCCAGTGTTATTAGAAAAGGGTATTTCTTTATTGTCCTATTTTACTAGTTGCAGCAATTGGCTAGTTGTTTTCTTCTTAAACAATGAATAAACTGGTCATAGCTTTAGGTCATTGCCTCTCTGGTGTGGTTGCACAAGTCCAGTGTTGATTCTTGTGGTTTTTGACCGGTTATTTACAAAAACCCCGGCCTGTACTGCAGGACTTCCGGTCTAAATGGTAAAGTGGAAACACTTCATCATTTGCTATGAAAAACTTCAATGTTTTATGCTTTTCTTTTATACTAAAGTCTACCTTATTTTCTCCTTTACTAATAAAAGGTGCCTTGGATAATGTTTCTTTCTTTTTTTTTTTTGAGTTGGAGTTTCACTCTGTTGCCCAGGCTGGAGTGCAGTGGCACACTCATGGCCACCCCAGCGTCGACCTGCTGGGCTCCAGCCATCCTTCCACCTCAGCCTTCCATGTAGTTGGAACTACAGGCGTATGCTACCACACCCAGCTAATTTTTTTATTTATTGTAGAGACAAGGTCTCTCCAAGTTGCCTGGGCTGGTCTCGAAACTGCGGGCTTATGCAGTCCACTCGCCTCAGCCTCCCAAAGTGCTGGGGTTACAGGCTGAGCCACTGAGCTTGGTCGGATATTGTTTCTGTTGGGTTGTCACAGTGTGGATATTCCATACCTGATTATTTTTCTAGAAATGAAATTTTTCTGAATATTTGATTGAATTTGAATAAATACTTTGCTCCAAGGAGTTGATCAGAACATTTTGAAGTAACACCTCTATCACTTTAATTTATTGTATCTTTATAGCAAAGAAGTTAGCAAGTGAAAAGAAGTGAATATGCCTATGTATTTAAGTGAAAACTATTGACCAGCTGGGTAGGACTCAGTCCTGTTCTGGATGTCCTGACATAATAATTGACCCTCAGCTCCCTATTCAATATGTCTAAATTATTTTTTGTATTACAAAGAAAACAGATGAGTTTGCAATTCTTATATTTGACCGATTAACTTTCAGACCCACTGACAACTATAAACACAATTTCTTATGTTTTTTCTCCCTTCAAGTGCTTTTAAGATCAGCCATCCACAGATCAAGACCTTTTATTTCGCAGCTGAAAATGTGCAGGAAATGAATGTGTAAGTAGAGGAAATTGGTAAATCCAATCTTTTTTGGGAGGATACTTACTTTGACCAAGTATTGGAATTATAAGCATATGTTCATATTCATAATATCTTCAGCAGTTACAAAGTCTTCTTACTTTCCTCTCCAGTATTTTTAAGCATTTTCTAGAGCTACATGTATCAAAATGGCTATTTTAGAAAGAGGTGGTACAACTCTTCTGAAGAAATCACTAGGTCAAGAAAGGAGTGAACAGAAATCATTGAAAGAAAATGTCAAAATGAGAATCAGTATTAAAAGGAGAAAGACTTGAAAGTATGATGTAACTGATTTGCAGCTTTCAGAGTTCTACATAGTATTTATTGTGACAGCTGTGTGGTTATCATGATGGCTCATGTATTCATCACCTCTCCATGTATTGTCCTGAACATTTTTCAAAATGTCCTTGCTCAGAGTATATCTCACTTAAAATTTTAGATCCCTGGCTCTATTTCCAGTGTGCTCTATTTAGATAAATGGGCTACATGCAGAGAGAGTCCTACCTGCCTTACACCGTCCCCTACTGGTCTAGGTTGAGATGTGATCACAATGGCTGTGACTTGAATGTGGATGTATTTGAGGTGCTGTCTCGAGGCATCAGTGGACATTCTACTTAATTTAGCTATATTCTTAGAATTCGGCGTGTCTTATTACCCTCACACAACCAACTGAAAATACATTTATGGAAAACCTACTAGATACCACATTGCAGCAGTGCTGGCAATAGCAATGAAAAATAACCACACATATTTTCTTCATTCATAGAGATAATGTTTAATGTATTTTATGTGTACATAATGATTTCCTTACCTACCTGCCCTAAATAACTTCTTTTTACCCTCTTGCTCTGGAAACTTAAAAAGAAAAGCAGTTGCCTTTCAGCAAACACACACACACACACACACACACACACACACACACACACACACACACACACACACACCATACAGGATATCCGCTCAGCAGCACTGTCCAGCTAGAAGCTTTCTTATTTGTTCCCTACACTTACTTCAGATGAGGGTAGAATGAATGGCTTTGTACCACAGAAAGTTGGGAGGCCTTTTGTTAGAAATAACAAGGCAAGGAATTGACAATTGTCTTCCAAATAACTCTCTGATTTACTTGAACAAAGAGAATTTGTTTCTACCCTCTTTCTGATATTACCATTTTTCCCCTTGGCATTTGCAAGCATCTGAGAAAAATAAGAGCAGATACACAAAAGGTGAGGATTTTAAAGTCTTCACAGTCAAAGCCCTTTTACTTATCTCTTTTATTTGCATCAGTCACTAAATCCTGTTGATCAGCAAGCCCTTGCTGTGTAAGTGAAGTGTAGGAGAGATAAGGTCCTGTCTACCAGTACTTGGAACCCTGGGGCAGTGAGTTTTAGAGAGCAGAAGAGCCATCAGTTAATGCCAAATGGTCTCCTCCCCAGTACCTCCTGCCATCTGGCTTCTCTCTGAAAGAGCCTTATAGCTTCGACTTCCTTCCCCACATCCTTCCCACTCATCTTGTGGTTGATTCTTTCAAAGTAGTTCTGTCTCCAACAAGAGGTGCGTGAGACTGAGTTTACCAAAGAAACAATCGCTTCTTCTTTCTTTTTTTTTAACCCAGTGAATTTCTCCTCCTACACAGTAAAGTGCATTTTTAAATCAATAAAAGTGTGAGACCCTTCCATGGTTATCTGAATCTGTGATATTTCAGGCAGAGTCACTGTCTAAGTCACAGTCACTCTCTAAGTCACACATCAGAGTTATTTAGCTGCCAGCTTCTCTCTCCTCACCTCCTCAGTGTTTATTCACATTTCCAACCCATTTACCTTCCCTTTTTATTTTTGTATATACCTATCTAATGGCAAGCAGAGTTCCATGAGTATTATCTATAGATATGATATATATACTCTACCGTGTTGGTTGTTAAAGTCATTCACAGCTATCCAAGATCTTACTGCCTATCTTTGCTGTGAAGATCTGTTAATTTTACTTGAAAAATCTGTTAGCGATTATCTTTCCAGCTTACAAACAAGATGTAAATTGAAATTTAAACTTAGGGTGTCTTGATTTCATGTTTTTGAATCTTCCAGTGATCTTTATGCTTGAAAATTGCCCATCTAGCCACTCATAGGTTAATGGCCCATTTTGTCTGTGCCTAAAATATATAATAATCTCATATTTATAATATAATTATTGAGTTTTATCCTTCTAAATACGACTTCTTCCTTCTCCCACAAGATTATGCAGATGATACTTAGAGATTTATTTTGCAATGACATCAGACGAGTTTCCCTTCTTACTGATATGGCCTGTTTAAGTCAGGAAATAATGTATCTGGGTATTACTTGGTGAGATGCAGAGGTGTGGGGGAGGGAGGGGGTGGCATTTGGAGCGATGAGTCCTGTTTTAGAAGTTTCCCTCCTTGGGCAACTGCATTTCTGGATGGTGACGTTTCTCTCAGGGACGATGAAGGGAAAGTTAATTAAGTTTAATAGAAACGCCACATGTTCTGTAGTGAGTCTCGGTTTAAAAGTGCAGGGCTAAGTAATTAAGGATAACGAAAGAGTTGGTTTTGACGGTAGCTGCCTTTTGCAGACAGTGTTTGTGGGAAGAATGCTCTTGTTTTGTACATCGATTTCTTAACACTTGTTCTCCTCCAAGACACACATTCACGTCAAGTTAATATACAACAAACTCCCAGGAAGCATCTGCCATTTGCTTTTATGTAAATATAAGTGCATCCATCTATTTAGCTGCAGATAGTTTTCCTACCGCCATCGTGTTTTTAAAAAGTTCTTAGCAAAGAAGATACTCTAAGCCAGTAGGTCCTAGGGAAAAAACAGTCAAATAAGATTCTAAACTATCACCGGTTTTTCACAGCAGGTGAACTATGGTTGCAATGAAAAGGACAACAGTTTGGGGTGAGGACTGAGAGAAATCTTTTCTTTATTGCCAGTGCTCTTCCATTTTGCTATATTTTCGTGTTTTGGAAAGGAGCTTCTCTTGTTTCAGACACTCTCAATTCAAAATTATTTTTGTCTCTTTTAAAAAAAAGTTGTCTATTTTGCTTTCAGATGCTTTTTTTGGGGGGGAGGGTCAGCTTATACAATTATGAAATCAGGTGTAAGCTAAAAATTATTATGATATTTTAAAAAAGTGAACTATGTTTTGCTTGATCAGTTTTTAAAAATGACCTTCTAAATGTGTGTTTTAGTTAATACATAAAACAAATTTGTGTTTAAAAGTCAAATAATACAGAATTAGAAAGAGTGAAAGAATTCCTAGACTCCCCACTCTCACTTTTCAATTGAACTACTCTCTATGGTTTGCTGCTTTTAATATGAATATTTATTTATTAATTTATTATTATTTTTTGTTGGGGTCTCACTCTGACGCCTAGGTTGGAGTACAATGGTGATCACGGCTCATGGTATCCACTACTCCTGGGTTTGGGTCATCTATCCATCTCAGCCTCCAGCGTAGCTTGCACTAGAGGCACATACCACTGCGCCTGGCTAATGTTTTTATTTTTTGTAGAGACAAAGTCTCTCTACCTTGCCTATGCTGGCTCAAATTCCTGGGCTCAAGTGATCCTTTCACCTCAGTCTTCCAATGCTGGGATTACATGTGTGAGCCATTGCTCCCAGCCTATTTTTACTTAAATTTTTTTTTTTTTTGAATTGGAGTCTCACTCTGTCGCCCAAGCTGGAGGGCAGTGGCACGCTCACGGCCACCGCAGCCTCTACCTGCTGGGCTCAGGTGATCCTTCCAACTCTGCCTTCCAACTAGCTGGAACTACAGGCATGTGCCACCATGCCTGGGTAATTTTTTCTGGATTTATTGTAGAGATGAGGTCTCACCAAGTTGCCTGGGGAACACGTGGGCTCAGGCAATCCTCTCACCTCGGCCTCCCAAAGTGCTGGGATTATATGCCCGAGCCACCAAACCTGGCCTACTTAAAGTTTTTAATTTTAATTTTTAATCTTAGATTCAGGCAGTACAAGTGCATCTTTGTTACACTCAGATAATGCATACTGGGTTTGGGTTTCAGGCGTCCTCATTCCCCAAACAGTGGACATTGTATCCAGTAGGTAGCTTCTGAACCCTTGGCCCCTTCCTGACCTCCCACCTGTTAGTGTTGCCAGTGTCTTGTTTATGTCCATTGAGCTCTCAGATCTAAGTGAGAACATGCGGTGTTCAGTTTTCTGTTTCTGAATTAGTTCTCCTAAGGTAATGCTTTCCGGCTTTATCCATGTTACTGCAAAGGACACGATTTCATTCTTTTTTTTTATGGCTGTATGTAGTCTATGATGTATATATTCCACATTTTCTTTATCCAGTCAGTCGTTGATGAGCACTTAGGTTGGTTCCATGACTTTGCTGTTGTGAATAGTGCTGCAATGAACATATGAGTGCAAGTAACTTTTTTATATAATTATTTCATTTCCTTTGGGTAGATAGTGGGATTGCTGGGTTGAATGATAGTTCTCTTTTTAGTTCTTTGAGAAATCTCCACACTGTTTTCCACAGAGACTGAACTAGTTTTCATTCCCACCAACAGTATATGAAGTATGTGCGTGTTCCTTTAACTCTGCATCCACGCCAACATCTGTTGTTCTTTGACTTTTTAAGGACAGCCTTTCTCTGACTGGTGTAAGATGATTTATCTCTGTAGTTTTCATTTCCATTTCTCTGTTGATTAGTGATGCCGAGCCTTTTTTCTTGTTTGTTGGTTTCTTTATATCTTCTTTGGGAAGTGTCTATCTATTCATGTTCTTTGCCTGTTTTTGATGCTTGTTTTTTCTTCCCCCCATATTGAGTTGCAGATTCTAGATATCATTCTTTCATGTGAGGCATAATTTGCAGATATTTCCTCCCATTCCATAGATTTTCTGTTCACTCTGTTGATTATTTATTTTGCTGTGCAGAAGCTCTTTAGTTTAAGTTCCATTTTCTATTTTTGTTTTTGTTGCATTTGCTTTTAGGGTCTTTGTTATAAATTCTTTGCCTAGACCAATGTCCAGAAGAATTTTTCCTAGATTTTCTTCTAGTATTTTAAATATTTCTGCCTTACATTTAAGTGCTTAACCCACATGGAGTTAGTTTTTGTATTTGATAAGAGGTATGGGTTTGGTTTCATTCTTCTGTAGTATGGCTAGCCAATTTTCCCAGCACCATTGATTGAATAGGGTGTCCTTTCCCCACTGTATATTTTTGTCAGCTTTGTCAAAGATCAGTTGGCTGTGGGCATGTGGTTTTATTTCTGTGTTCTTTATTCTGTTCCTTTGATCTGTCTATTTTTTTGTACCAGTACCATGCTATTTTAGTTACTATAACCTTGCTGTATAACTTGAAGTCAAGCAGTGTGATGCCTCCACATTTGCTCTTTTGATTTAGGCTTGCTTTGGCTTTGGGAGCTCTTTTTGGTACACATAAACTTTAGGATTTTTTTTTTAAGATCAGTAGAAAATGGTTTTGGTATCTGGATAGGAATTACATTGAGGCTATAGATTGCTTTGGAACATATGGTCATTTTAATTATATCGATACCTCGGGTCCCTGGGCATAGTATATTCTTCCATTTATTTATATCCTCTACAATTTCTTTCATCAGTGCTTTGTAGTTCTACTTATAGAAATCTTTCTCTTCCTTGGTTAAATTTATTCCTAGGTACTTTTTTTTTTTTTTTGAGTTGGAGTCTCACTTTGTTGCCCAGACTGGAGTGCAGTGGCCCCTCCTGGCCACCGCAGCCTCGACCTGCTGGGCTCCGGGGATCCTTCCGTCTCAGCCTTCCAAGTAGCCAGGATTACAGGCATGCACTACCACGCCCAGCTGATTTTTTGATTTATTGTAGAGGTGAGGTCTCACCAAGTTGCCCAGGCGGGCCTGAACCCGTGGGCTCAGGCAATTCACTCACCTCAGCCTCCCAAGGCGCGGGATTACAGGCTGAGCCACCGAGCCTGGCTCCTAGGCACTATTTTTGTGTGGCTATTATAAATGGAATTGAGCTCTTGATTTGGTTCTTGGCTTGAGCATTATCGGTGTGAAGAAATGTTGCTGATTTTTATAAATTGATTTTATATTCTGAAACTTTACTGCAGTTGCTCATCAGGGCTGGGAGTCTCTTGGAGGAGTTTTTAGGTCTTTTAGGTTTATAATCATGTCATCAGCAAACAGATAGTTTGACTCCCTCCTTGCCAGTTTGGATGCCTTTTCTTCCTCTTTTCTGATTGCTCAGGCTAGGAGTTCCGATACTGTGTTGAATAGGACTGGTTAGGTTAACCACTTTTAGCAATAAGAGGTATATTCTTTCCTGACACATTTCTGTGCATACCAATTCATACACATAAACAAATATGTAGTTTTTGAAGTACATGAGATCAGGCTAAACATATTGTTCTACATGTGCTTTTTTCAATTAACAATATGTTAGGATTCTTCCAGGTTATTACAAGCCTCCTCACCTTCATCTTCTTTTTTTTTTTTTTTTCCAGTTGAAGTCTCACTCTGTCACCCAGACTGGAGTGCAGTGGCATGCTCTCCTGGCCACTGCAGCCTCACCCTGCTGGGCTCCGGCAATCCTGCCGCCTCAGCCTTCCAAGGAGCCGGAACTATAGGCGTGTCCCCATGCCCAGCTGATTTTTTATTTATTGTAGAGATGAGGTCTTGACAAGTTGCTGGGGCTGGTCTCAAACCAGCGGGCTCAGACAATCCACTTGCCTCGGGTTCCCAAAGTGCTGGGATTACAGGCTGAGCCACAGAGCCCAGCCACCTTCATCTTTTTATTAGCTTAATTACAATTTGTTATTTATAGAATTAATGTTGATAGAATAAGTAATTTATGTGTCCATTTTCCTTTTAATGAACAATGTGTTTTTTTTCTTTTTGGCCATTATTAGCCTTGTTGACAGTTTATGTTTTTCCCTGTTCATTTGTGGATCTAAAAATGTGTTTTTGTAGGATTGATAATTGGAATTGTTGGGCAGTCAGAATGGATATTTAAATTTTGAATAATATTACCAAATTGCCTGCCCCAAAATGGCTGTATCAGTTTTCATATTCAACCCAAAATGAGTGTGCTCATTTTTCCATTTCCTCCTAAATATTAGAAATCAATAATATTTTTAATCTTTTCCAAGCCAGTGGTGAAAATATTTTCCTGTGTTTGAGTATGCATTTTCCAAAGTACTGTTGAGGCTGAATTTTTTTGTTTTTCATACATTGTTCAGCCATTTGCATTTTTTCTGCTCTTTTATTTTGCCTATTATTCTGCAGAGGCTTGATAAACATTTTTGGGTTCTTGGGGTATAATCTGGTCTCTTTATTGGTCCAATTTTAAGTGGTCCCCAGAGAACTTGTGTTTATCATGGTACTGAAGGGGACTTAAAGGATGCTGGAGCTCATCTTCATTCTTTAGACGCTCTTGTTTTGCTTATTTTTAAAAATCAAATTTATTGTATATTTCTTGTTAAAAAAGAATGCATTCAGGAAGACCACGATAGGGGTGAATGTGTCCTTAATTAGCTGATAATTATAGACTTGGGAATGTGCAATATTTATGTCATCATGCAAATACAGCATGCTGAATTGTTCATGAGGTATTGTAGGACTGGAAGAAATCAAAAGTATAAGCAAATTATTAAATGCATAGAATCATTGTTGCTATTTTTATTATTTGTTATTGTTTATATTTTGCTATTTTATTATTTGCTATTGTTATTTGATCAGTACTGGTTGTCGTAGACCAATTTGAATGCTCTGGTTTCTCAAAAAATAAATAAATACACAAAATAGAATACTTTTTTAAAATTCAGAAAACTAGAATGATGTGGGAAATAAAAACATCTAGATTTTCAGTCTCAAAATAGTATTTTCCCAGTAAGTATAAGATTATATGATGTGAAATATACTAAATAGACACACTTTGTGTACTTTCTTTTAAAAAAATTGTCTTTTAAAATATGTTTCAATGAAACCCTTGAGAAGGAACTGCAGTGATCTGAAGTAATAAGCCAACTTTGAGTTGTCTAGTTTTATTTTTGTTATTGTTGTTTAATTGTAATTCATTGTTAATATGGTACACAGGAAAATGTTTACCTTACATAAAATTCTTCTAGGAATTAAAATTTTTCCTTATTTAAAAATATCTGTTAAGTCTTAGCCAGACTGTTTACTGGTTGAGATAAATATTTCTTCTTTAAAAATGGATGATCTTTATTTTTTTCCTAAAATAAACAGTCTTTAAGAATTATAGGTGATAACACTCAACAACTTTAATGGCCAAATTACTAAATCCAATGATAAAGGATTTAATGGTTGCTAAAATTTCAAATGCCCAATTACAGAAGATATATTTGTTAATGTATTTAGAATATCAAATTTAGCTGTCCACATTAATAAACTGGATAATGAGGCACCTCACTGCTTATCTGACAAAAGATACTCTGTATCAGGAAATAATTGTGAAACCAGAGGTCGTAGGTTTGGATGCTTCAAACTTATGCTGTTTCTAGAAATATTCAAGTTGACAAGAGAATTATTACTTCATTTCATAACAAAAACTTGCACAATGTCCTTTTTCAGGGTCGGGGGAAAATGAATGAATAGGTGGCCCATCTTTTGGGACAAACATTTAATTTCTATTTGAATTTTAGGTGGTTAAATAAGCTTGGATTAGCTGTAATCCATCATGAAGCCACTACAAAGGATGAAGGTATGTTCTGTTTTAAATTTCTGAATATTTAGCAAGATTATTAGGACAGGTTGAAATAGGATGAGAACACCATGTCAAATTCTATGTATAGACTAATCCTGAGGAAACATACTCTGGCATTTAAAGGATCTGAAAATATGTAGAGACAGACATATTCACACAGACTCACCACCATGAACTAGAGCTTCCCATGCTGGCTATGAATGCTTTTCACACCCCACCCACACTCCGGCAGCTGTACGCTTCATGACATCTCACACAGTCGCCAATGCAAATGTCTGATTGCTTTACTTGCTGAATTCTTACTCATAGACATGGTCTCATCATGATCTGGTCAGATAACTTTCATCCCACGATTTCCTCTCTGATATTTTAACATTTCCGCCAGGTGTGTGCTGAGACTAGTTACCCGAAGATTATACTAGGAACCTGAAGGTCAGGTTGGGACACAAGTCGTATTTTTAGCTCAGTCTGTAGCTTTCAGGGTTCAAAAGCTATAGGAGTCTAATTCTTCTTAATGATGAAATTAGTCCTTAGTGTCATGAAGAGGAAGGGTTGGGATGCTGGGGCGACTGAGTTGATTGTATTTCTTAAAAGCTCAGATCACAGGAGACTTGGGAATTGCAACTAGAAAATTATATCTTCTGATAACAAAAGCATAAAATCTTATATTTAAAAATGGAAAAGTAGCGACTGGGTTTGAAACAATAAAGGAATACAAGGTAATACTAGGAAATCAGTGTCCTACCCATCTTCTTGGGTAGGAGTGTGAGGGGGTGAAAAACTATACAAAAATCTTCTCTGCATACTGGATATGGTGTCCCATGCCTGTAATCCCAGAACTTTGGAAGGTCAAGGAGGGAAGGCCACTTGAGCCCAAGAGTCTGAGGTTGCACCGCTGCTCTCCAGCTTGGGGGGGCGGGGAGAGAGAGAGAGAGACCCTGTTTAAAAAAAAAGAATCATCTTCTCCTTGTCCTGGTATGTGAGGCCTTCCATGATGTGGCCTCAATGACCTTTCAGCTTCATTTTCTGTATCCCATAAGAGTCTCCACATTCTCTGCTCAACCTTCTCCCTAAGTCTGGAGCTTCCCAAACTCTGCACCACTGATGGTTTAGTGATCCTGCTAGATGGAGCTCATTGTGATTCCTACAATAAAAATTAATCATGCCCTGGTTTTATACTTTCTTAGTGTATGGCTCACAACTCTTTCGAGGAATTATTTTATTTTATTGCTGTATGGTTGATGCTCCTGTGTACTGATGCTCTTTAGGACAGAAGACCTTAGGTGGCCATTAGCTTCTCCCTCTTATATAATTATCTTGCATCAGGTAGTTCCCTAGATGTGGACTTTCTGAATTGGATTGAAATTGCAGTAGCCAGATGGAGCAAAACCTCTGCTCATGCATTATGGAATAAGTGATGACAACGTTAAAACATCAAGCATTTTCATTTCTGTTATAGAATGTTACAGTGAAAGTGAACAGGAAGATTCTGAAATGACTGTGGAGACACCACCCCCTCCTTCTTCCCAACCTCAGTCTCCTTCGATATGTGCCAACGTAAGTAGCCTGTTGTTTATTGATCGGATGTGTGGACATCCTTCCTTTCAAATGGGTAGACATCACCATGACCAATGCATTTTTAGAACAGGCCAAATTAAGGTGCCTGCTGATGAGCAAGATGATTTTCAATGTGCAGATTTTGAGCTTTCTCCATAGCAACTTATTGGTATGACAAACTTGGTCAATTTGTGTGTGACCCACAGATGCTCAGAGCATTCATGGGAATGTCAAGGGTTTCTGGGTGATAAGCCAATGTTTGCAAAGACTTGTTTTGTAGTTTTTATGTGTGCCCTACTTGTTCTTAGAAAGAATTTAAGTGCTGTGCCTCAGTGCATGTACTACAACAATGCAAAATGAACTTAAAGAGGATGAAAAAATAGCATCAAGAGAAAAGTAGAGCCAGAAAGATAGCTGGAAGCCAGGAGTGGGGTTAGTGCATTAAAACTGCATATGGCATGATTTGTATATTCACTAGAGAGGAGTCAAAATGCGATTCTAAGCTTTGGAAACATTGAATGTGAGTTCACATTATTAATGGATGTTAAGACCGTGAAGAGTTGCTTCATATTTGGATGCTTTTGGTGTTATAGTAAGGGCCCCTAGAATGGGTCAAACAAGGGTCATTGGGACATGGGGGAAGTAGATTTATGGTTTTTTCACCTACCATGTTCTGGACTTATGTATGTGCATTAAATATGTAATCATTTAATTCCCCCAAAGAACCTTGAAGAAGTAGTATTACTTAATTTGCATTTTATTCATTACTAATAAGGCCAAACAGCCTTTCTTGTTTATTAGCCATTTGAATTTTCTCTGTTCTGAAGTGTTTGCTAAGTCTTTTGTACATTTTCAGCTGTATCCTCTTCCTCTTCATCTTCCTTCTCTTCTTTTTTTGATTAGTAAGATTTCTTTCCCCTTTTTTTTTTTTTTTTGTGTTGGGAGTCTGTCACTCAGGCTGGAGTATAGGGGCATGATCATGGCTCACTGCAGCCTTGAACTCCTGGTCTCAAGCGATCCCTCTCACCTCAGTCTCCTGAGTAGCTGGCACTACAGGTGTGTGCCACCACTCCCAGCTTGATAAGATTTCTTAATTTATTATTCTATGTATTAGTTCTTTGTCAACTATGTGAGCAAATCTCACTTTTTATTTTTCTGAGTAGGAGTCTCACTCTGTTGCCCAGGCTGAAGTGCCGTGGCACACTCATGGCCTCCCCGACGTCAACCTGCTGGGCTCTGGTGATCCTTTCGCCTCAGCCTTCTAAATCGCTGGAACTACAGGTGCACACTACTGTGCCCGGCTAATTTTTTTCATTTATTGTAGAGATGACGTCTTGCCAAGTTGCCCAGGCTGGTTTCTAACCCGTGGGCTCAGGTAAACCTCTAGCCTCTGCCTCCCAAAATGCTGGGATTACAGTCTGAGCCACTGAGTCCAGCCCGAATCTCACTATTTAAACTTTTGTTTCAAGATTTCTCTTTGTACACAGAAATTCTTGATTTTTAACATGTCAGATTTATCCATCATTTTCATTGTGGTAAGCGCCTTTTTTTTTTCTGGTTTCAAAGATTGGTTCCTATTTCCAGGTCATGAGGAAGTAGATAGTACTCCCTTCATTTTATGGTTAAAGAGACTAAAGTTCGATGTTCAATGGCATGGCCAAGAGCCCAGTGAGAGCAGTGCCTCAGATGGAAGTCTCAGTCTGTCTAGCTTTATTTATTTATTTATTATTATTATTATTTTTTTTTGAGTTGGAGTCTCACTCTGTCGCCCAGACTGGAGTGCAGTGGCCGCTCCCGGCCACCGCAGCCTCGGCCTGCTGGGCTCCGGCGATCCTTCCACCTCCGCCTTCCAAGTAGCTGGAACTACAGGCGCGCGCTACCACACCCAGCTAATTTTTGATTTATTGTAGAGATGCGGTCTCACCAAGTTGCCCGGGCAGGCCTTGAACCCGCGCGCTCAGGCAATTCACTCACCTCAGCCTCCCAAGGCATGGGATTACAGGCTGAGCCACGGAGCCTGGCTCTGTCTAGCTTTATAAGACATGCTCTCTCCACTCAACCACAACGCTTGTCCTTCATATTCCTAAATGATGACAGGTTCTGACAGATTATGGCAATTCATTTATTTACCAGACCTCTTCTGCCGTAATTTCTATTCAATGTGATAAAGTTTTCATCTTTACTTCTGCACTGTCAGCGTATGGACTTACAATGTTAAATTGGTCATTTAAATAATGACCTCTGTGTTTTTCTCACACTGTCAGTGGATAATTGTGGTCACTTTTCTAATTTATTTGTCAGGCAGCCAAGATGAGAAATAAATATTTGTTGACTAAATATGTTTATTAAAATCTCTAGAATATACTTAGCCAAAATTAAGCAAGACATAAATAAAATTAGACTTTGTGGTAAAATTTAGACCAAACTTTGAACTTACAATATATTCTTTTAAAATATATTGATAGCTTTTCCTTAAAGTAATCATTCTCCTCTTTTTTATTTATTATTATTTTATTAAAATAGAGGCAAGATCTTGTTATATTGCCCAACCTGGTCTTGAACCCCTCGGTTCAAGCAATCCTCCCACCTCAGCCTCCCAAAGTGCAAGGATTACAGGTGTGAGCCATTGTGCCTGGCCCCTTTCTCCTCTTTGAAAATCGGTTTCTGAATTTAGGAAAAGTTTTCTATTTTCTTTATATCACTTAAACTTAATGATCTCTTCAGACCTGAAAATTTTTCCCAGATTTTGACAATTTTCTTATTGGACTACCCTTTATTGTTCCTAAAGAAGTTATCAGTTTTGTGCTCAGTAGGTCTTCCATAAGTGGTTTTTGCTGTTGATTAATGGAGAATTTCATATTTCTGTTGAGTTTCTCTGTCTCTGCCTGTTTCTTTCTCCTTGTGTCTTTGTCTCTCTCTGATTTTTACCTCCATCCCTTCCTCAAATTCCCTCTCCCTTCCAATGTGTCCATCAATATATCCCTTTTCTGATTTATTTCAGTTGTAAAATACTGAGATTTTCCATTTTACGATGGCAGACTGGTGACATGATTACTAAGGTATCTTCAGGCATTGCGAACTCCTTTTGGAGAAAATAAAAGCAACTAAATTGTCTTCTTAGATAAAAGATCATGGTTCACCTTCATTATACATTAACAGCCTAACTTGATGGAAGGGAAAGCTCAGGGAATGCTTGTTTTAATACAAAAAAATAAAAGAATGTTTGTGAGACCAGTAGTTAGGTCACTGAATTCAGAAGAGTTTTTAAATGTTCTGGATCATCAAACAAATGTTATTTCTTAAGAGTTCTACGTTGAGCAGTTTTTGGCAGCCCACTAATGCTAACATGTTAAAAAAGAAATATATTGGAAATAGTGAGATAAATGTTGAACAGTAGGGTTTTTTCCCTTAGCAACAGAATATGTTCCTCCTGCTCACATATTTCTCAGGCAGATTTTGTTTTTGTTTTCTCTTGTTTCTGAAAAACAGACATGCAAGGCACTTGGTTAAAATAACTTTAGGCTTTTTATTTAAACAGATGAAGTTTGAAAAAAAAATCATGATAACTTTTATCTGAAATATTCCTTAAAAAATTATTTTGGGTAATGAACTTTCATTTTGTGATGATAGATTCAACATCAACATTTTTGTTTATGATCCATGTTCTTCAGGAAGCTTCATGTGATCATGAAGTGATAGTGGAAAGGACATCTGTTTATTCTTTTTTTTTTTTTTGAGTTGGAGTCTCACTCTGTTGCCCAGGCTGGAGTGCAGTGGCACACTCACCACCACCGCAGCCTCGACCTGCTAGGCTCAGATGATCCTTCCGTCTCAGCCTTCCAAGTAGCTGGAACTACAGCTATGCACCACCATGTCCGGCTAATTTTTCTTTATTGTAAAGATAAGTTCTCGCCAAGTAGCCCAGGCTGGTCCCAAACACCTGGGTTCAGGTAATCCTCTCGACTCTGCTTCCCAAAGTGTTGGGATTACAGACATGAGCCACTGCACCCAGCCATTTATTCTTACAGAAGTTAGAAACTGGGAGCTTTCTAACAGGTGTAATAAAAAGCCTCCACATAGGTAACAGTCTTTAAGTTTCCCTTTGGAAGATATTTTGTGGAAGTCACTATCCGTGGTTCCCCAAAATTCACAGACAAGCAAAGAAGGAACCAATTTCCTTCCCATTTCAAACCTGAAAATTTTTTATAAGTTATAAAGTGACTTAAGAGCCACAAACATCACTAAAAATCTGCTCCAGGTATTTTTTCCTCTGAGTTTCATTTTTAAAAAAACTTTATGTGATAACCTGGTCTATGCTTCTAGGTGTATTCATTCCTTTAATAGGTATTTATCGAGAGTCACTGTTCTAAATATTTGGAACACGCCAGTGAATGAAGTGGTCAGTGATTCATGTTGTTTGTGGAGCCACACTTCAAGTTGAGGGAGACTGATAATAAACAATCCACATAATAAATAAAGTACCGGCTGTGCTAGTAAAGGTGGAGAAGAATGAGTCAGGGAGTGCTGGAAGTAAACCTTGGGTTGCAGCCATGAACAGGGTAACCAGGAGAAGCCCTACTGAGAGCTAAGATCTGGGCAAAAATCTTGAAAGACAGTATGAGAGTCAGCCAAGTGGGTATTTGAGGAAGGAGTTTTCCAAGCAAAGGAAACAGTGAGAGTCAAAGTTTCCTTGGTGTGGAATACTGCCAGGAGACCATCATGGCTGGAGCAGGGTGAACCAAGATGAGCGCGGAAGGAAATGAGGAAGGGTCGTGAAGAGGGTAGTGGCGGCCGTACTATGTAAGGCACATGGGGCCAGTTAAGGACTTTGACATTGGAGCCATTTAGGAAACCTTTGAAAGGTTTGAGTGAGCCAGGCTCGGTGGCTCAGCCTGTAATTCCCTGCCTTTGGGAGGCTGAGGTGAGTGGCTTGCCTGAGCCTGCAGGTTCGAGACCCACCTGGGCAGCGAGACCTCATCTCTACAATAAATCAAAAAATC